TCCCTGCCCAAATTCGCACACGGGACAAGTTGCCTCGGGATGGAGCACCCGGAAGCCACCCTTTGAGATGCCAGGCGCCTAGGATCCACTGGGCATGGGGCCTCTTTGGGGTGGTGGGATGGAAAAGCAGGCACGCCCTGGTCCAAGATGCTTGAGGATAATGCACCGTATTCCATCCATGGCTTAAGCCCCCAACTCCCTCAGAGCTGCCCCTCCCGGGCCAGCTCAATTTACTCAGGGCCTTGTCCGAGGGAAGGGTGGAGGGTGGCCAGTGGGAGGGGGGCTTTCTTGGTGATCCCCCCCCCCAGTGTGATAACCCCCCCACTGAGGCCTGGCTGGAGCTGATCAGTTGATTTTTGCAGTGCCAAGTCAAGACAACTCTCTTTTCTGAGGATTTTAAGGACTTACTGGGCCACCTAGGGGCTTGAGATGGAATCCTCACCTGTTGCTGCTGTTCGTTTTTATCATCTGGTTTTAGCTGTTGAAAACCTTTAAAGATTTTTTTCTGACGTTTTAATTGCACTTTTATCATTTATTTATTTATTTAAGACATTCGTATGCTGTCCTTTGCGGGAGCTTCAGGACAGCTTACATGAATAAAATTCCAAAATACATGGCAATATAATCTTATAAATAACATAAAACATTCCACAATATATCTTCTTTTAATTAATAAAAATAATAAGAAATAAAGGCGCAACTGTATACAAATTAGCAATATTAATAAAATAGTAATCATTATTAAAATGAAGGTTAAATAAAAAGGTCTTTATCTGGTGCTGAAAAGTTTGTTTTTATGGATTGTGTAAGCTGCCCAGAGAGCTTCCACTGTGGGGCAGTATAGAAACATACTTGATAAAGATGATTAAATAAAATAATAAAAGAGAGCCTGATTTTGGCAGAACAAAGCCAGAGAAACCAGGTGACATTTTCCAGTCTGGATTTCAACACTACTGCTGAGCATGGCTCTCAGTTTCCAAGGGTTTGGAGAGAAAACACCAGTGCCAGAATGCAATGCTCCGTTTCATGGGATGCAGCCATCAAAGACGCTACTCTAGAACAACCGCTTGGCTGGTCCCAGCACTCTGTCCTCAACAGAGGTCAGCCAGAAGGCCTGGGGACCCCCTGAGCAGCATGCCCACGTCCAGCCACCGAAGTGCCCGGCCAGAGCAAAGGTCGGCTTCAGCGTTAAGTGCCAAGATACAGCCTGCTAAATATTGCAAGACTTCCTTCGGCAGAACAGGCCAGATGTCCCGTCAAGCCCAGCGAGAGTTTTTATGGAGCTCTCCCTGCTCCTGTCCTCTCCCAGCTGGCACACGGCATCTGCGTTTGGGGTTCCATTCCTAGACCTGAAATGTTGCCCTTATTCCAGGGCAGACCTTCGGTCCTCCAAGTTCTGCATTGCGTGAAATGGCAGTGGGGATTCCATAAGGTATCAGGCGGCATTCTTTCCTAGCCCTGCCCTGGAGAGGCTGGGGAATATACCGGGACCTTTGCATGCAATGCAAGGGCTCTGCCACTGAGCTGTGGGTCCCCCCACACCCCAAAGGTCTGCCTAGCCTGGCATTCTATTTCCATGGTAGCCACGCAGAGGCCCCTGGGAAGCCCATAACATAAGCAGGGCTTGAGGACAACAGCCTTGCCCGCAGTTTGCTCCCAAAGATAGACTGCTCCTTGATATGGAGGTTTGATTTAGTTATCCTGAGAAAAGCCCCATCGGATCAGATCAAAGGTCCATCTAGGCAAGCAACAGGGCTCACCCAGATGCTTCTGGGAGGCCAGGCTCAAAGGCAACAACCCTCCCCTGTGTTTACTCCACAGGAAGCTAGTTCTCAAGATAGTTGTCTCCAACTTAGTGCAGCCTGTGAATGAGCACCCTCCAAAATGCCCTTGATAGCCCTGCTCAGCTCTTCCAAATCCAAGGCTGTGGCTCCTTGATGGAATTAATCCATCTCATCTTATCTTCGGTCCTGCACCTCTTCTGCTTTCCGCTTTGCTTAGCATGGTTCTCTAGTCTTGATTTCTTCAGGTGTGACCAACAGCCCCAGGATACATCCTGCCATTATACAATGGAGGAATATTCAGCCAGTCTCTATTTACAACACAATCCTCCAGGTCTACTCCTTAAACTCTTTCCAAAGCCCTTTAGGGCTCCAAGCTCCATCTTGATCTTCATCAGTGGAATGTTTAAAGACTGCTTTTAGGCCTTAATTATTTCAGACATTCCTAACTGCTGTGCTATTGTGTTTGCTTGCTTGCTAGTTGTGAAGTTGCATGCAACCCCATGCACAACACTCATCTCCTCCAGGCCTTCCCATCCCCTGGAGTCCACTCAAGCTCTGTCTATGCACCTCATCCTGTGCCTGCTTTTGCTCATGATGTATTTGAATTCCCGATCCACTCAGAGATAACTTTAAGGTATGTTAAGTAAGGCAGCCCACTGTTACAATCCAATTTCCATTCTTATTGTATGAACAAAATCTTTCTAAATGTTGCCAGCCCTGAATGGATAGACCCAAAATGTCCCCTCTCTGACCCTCCTTCGAGATGGTCCAATTGCTGCTATTTTCGAGATATGGAACGTATGACCTCCCCAGCACAATAAAGCCGAGATGCCCCCCTCCCCGGTTTCCGGTGGACTCCCAACTCGCGCCAAGTGCCTTGTTGCAACAGGAAATAGGCTGCTCTTAGGAGGATAAAAATATATATTTCTTTGGCACAAATATACTGTTTCTCCTCATAGGATTAACTTTGCTCCAGGCAGTTCCAGCCGCTTTGCTAATCGGGGGCTGCTGAGGACAACGGGGAAGCAGGGAAGCATGTGAGAAATCCGAGAGGCTCCTGGAACCTGTGGCAGCTTAAGGAGCTTTTGCCAAGGGGGCAAGGCCTTGACAATAGTTTCTGCGGGTTCCTTCCATTCTTCTTGCTCATTTTATTCCGGTAGTCACACAGGTGCAGTGGCTTGGGTGAACTTCAGAAGCAAAACTGCACACCCTCAGGGACAATTTAAAAAAATGGGCTTGGCAAACGCGACCCATTCATGTTAATTGCATGTTAGTTGCTTGCTTCACAGCAGAAGGAACATGGCCATCCAAAAGGGTCCTTCTTCGTAAAACCGTTCAGTTTATGGTGATGCTGTTGGCTTGCTTGGGTGTCTTTGTTATATTTATATCCCAGCTTTTTCCTTCCTATCAAGGAACATGAGGAAGCTTGCATAATACTCCTTTTCCTCTCTACCTTATCCTCACCACAACAGCCCTGTGGGGTAGGTTTGGCCTGGCCCATGACTTTCGGGCCTGTTCTCTGCCTCTGCCATAACGATTGTTCAATACCCATCACTTTCGCAACCCAAAACCTAAACAGCTTGGGAAGGACCATCTCCTCCATCTCCAGAGGCCTTCCCCTAGGTGCCCCCCCAAAGGGGGTACACAGCACACAGTGGTTAAGGAAAGGGCCTTTTTGGTGGTGGCACTCTGGGGGGCGAGGTTGGCACAGTGCTTGTCTGGCATGCAGAAAATCCCAGGTCCAGGGCTTGGATGTCTCCAGTTGCAGTGAGCCATGTTGCAGAAGCTGAGCCAAGAGATTTCTCTGCCTGGAGTCACAGCTAATTGGAGAAGACGATGCTGGTCCGATCCAGAATGTGGTCAGGGAACAGGCCCAGTTCCCACCCACGGCCAATCTCCATTCTTACGGGCCGCATTCCAGGGTATGGGGGCATTGGGCGAAATGTTTCAAGCCGAAGCAACCACTGTCTGAGCTCAAAGCATTGGCTTCCTGTAGCGAAGCTTTAGGAGATGGACGGAGCTGCACAAATGCCAGGAAACCAGACAACAAAAACCAGGAAATCACAGGCTGGGGAACGGGGACAGGGCAGGGGAAGAGACCACAGCCAGCTGGGGACCCAGGTGCAGACTTCCAACTGGGGAAGCTTTTCCCCTTCTTGGGATGCTCCAATGTGTTGGCTACAACTTTTATCGACCCAGACATTGCGGTCAAATTCTGGGGGCTTTCTCTGGCTGCCACCTCCAAGGGAAGGCTCAGAAGGTGGCGACAAGAACGAGGTGGACCCCACCTGTTGAACAGCCTCTCCACTGAGGCATGTCTGGCACCAACTTTATTGTCTTTTCAGTGCCAGGTAAAGACTGTTCTCTGCTTCAGGGGGTCTAATTAGTTACTGGAGCCTGACAGGGCTGAATGGAGTCTTCTCAACTTCCTATGTTTGACTGCTTTAAATTTCGTTTTACATTTTGTGTTGTTAACTTCTGTGATGTTTTCAGAAGTTTTAATGGTGTCTTTTATATTGTTTTTAAAGATGTTGTTGTGAACCACCCAGAGCTTCAGCTGTTGAACAACAGGAAGGGGAGGGGAGGGGAGGGGAGGGGAGGGGGGGGTGGGGGTGGGAGGCGGTTTGGCAGGACAGATTTCCACACACACACACACACACACACACACACCCCAAACTCACTCTCATCTTCTGAGGCAGGCATGGTTGTCGAGATGATGGCAGCTGTCACCCCAACACCTCTTGAGAGCAGAAACAGGTTGGGAAAAGGTGGCCCTATTTACATGAAAGTCTGGCCGAAAGTCATTTTAGTAGAACTTTGTAAGCCACTTCGGGTGTCTTACAAGAGGAAGGAAAGTGAGGTATAAATGTGGAGAAGGACGTGGCGGTGGCGGCAGAAAGCGGCTCTACTGGAGGGAAGAAAGTTTGTGTGCACTAGAGAGGTGGGTACAGAAAGAACACCTCTAGCTAATTTTGGACTTCTGCTCCGGGCAGCCCCGTTCGCAGGGCCACTTATTGCAAATGCCGGGGACTCAAGTCCAAACCATTTGCCCAATCCTGAACGAGTGGTGCCTTCAGAAGCCATGAAAAACCCGTTTGGCCCCTCTTGACAAAGTCCAAGTTCCTCCAACTCATCCCTGTCAGTTGCCTCCCCCCCCCCAAAACACACACACACACACACAAGGCACTCACAACAATGCTTCTTAGGAAACACGCCTGAGTCTTTTACTCTTTTATTCTTCTTTCATTCAAAAATGGACGGGCAGAGGATGCTTCCCTCGCTCCCTGCCAGCTCCCTGCTCAAACCGGCCTGGCAGAGTCTGGCCCCTCAAAAGTCAACCGGGGCTGCACTACAGCCTCTCTCCCATGCGTGGGGCGTGGGCCGGGCAGCGATCCGCAGCTGGACCTTCCGGCCATCACGCAAGGTGCCTCGTCTTGCCACGGAAGGGCTTCCATGGGAATCACGCCCACACCGCCGTGGCTTATTGCTATCGCAGGACGCATGGCGAGTCATGAAAACAGGATCCAGAAATGGGATGCGGAATGGAGGCTGAAAAACGGAGCAGTCCCAGGGCAGGGCTTTGCCTTTAAAAAAGCATCTGCGATGCACAGTCGCCCAGATGCTTGTGCAGAAGACGGCAGGGCTCTGTCTTTGGTGCACGCACGGTCGGCTCAGTCATGGCCCCAGCGGGCAGCCACTGGGAACGAGGATGGCCGAGTGCCCTCCCGAGAGGGGGCACACAAAGGAAGGCCCAGGGCGGTTCTTACTTGGGACGGACGGGGTTAAGGTGCCTGCAGCCACGGTGCCTCTCCCCCTCTGAAGCACCCCGGCCACCTGTGCCTCCCACCGAGGGGCGCACGAGCATCACCGAGGGCAAGGCGAGGAGGGCTCTCAGTTGTGTGGCGTGGCCAGATCTTGTGCGATAAACTTGCGCAGGCGCTCCAAGTACTGGCTGTAGAGTTCGATGTCGTTGTGGCCCGCCCCCTCCACCCAGAGGGGCTCCACGGCCTTCGGGCAGCGCTCGTAAAGGGCCAGGCCGTGCGAGAAGTCGATCACCTCGTCATCGGTGCCGTGGATGAAGAGGACGGGGGAGGTGATGCGCGACACCTTCTCTATGCTGAGGGAGAGAAAGAAAGAATCCGCTTGGCCCAGTGTCACCTGCGCCGGGTGCAAGGAAGATCCCAGCTCCTGGAACCTTTCGTGTGCAGGACATGGACCCTCCAGCTGGACTCGGCAACCTGCGGAAGGATGCAGTCGCTTTGCACCAAGCTGTCCAGCTCAGGATGGCCAAATCCAACCTCTCCGGCCACTTGCTCTCCATATTCTCTTGCGCTGCAGCTCCCCACCCCGCAGGCCCTTAGCCGTGCTGGGTGGGGATGAGGGGAATCTAAGTCCAAGAACCTATGCAGACCCTGGGCTGGGGAAGGCCATGGCCCCATTTCGGGTGCTCCATCATCGAGTTCTGCGGGCTCTCCAAAACACAGAGCAAGGCCCTGGTCAAGAGGTCCCGGGCCATGGACAGAGGACTTTTCTCAGGATGTCTGGATAGCCGGGAGGGAAGCAACATTTCTGCAGGCAAGGACTGGTCTCAATAGGAGAGCAGGATGCTGGCGGAAGTCTCCAGCCCCTGTAACTCAGGAACCTGGGATCGGACCGGAAATGGCAGTTCTGAGGCTGGGACCTTCGGCAGGCAAGGTGGGGCTCCGCTGCGGAGCTGTGGCCTTCCCCCGTGATGCGCAGGTGAGAAGAGCACGGGAGGTACAGCTCCTTTGGGTGGAGTCTTTATTATTTACAAGATTTTTATATCACTGCACAGCCCATAGGGCTGCCTGGGAAGCTTACACATAAAAACATGCGACAGCAACAGAAACTGCACAAAACAATAAAACCAATTGAAACCAAATGCAACAACTTGGCAATGTCTGGATTACTGTAATGTGCTCTCCGTGGGGCTGCCCTTGAAAACGGTCTGGGTACTTCAGCTGGTACAGAATCGAGCAGCTGGGCTACTGATGGGGACCGGCCGTTACTCTCATGTAACGCCTGTCCCCTACCAGCTCCACTGACTGCCAGTTGAGGTCCGGGCCCAATTCAAGGTGCTGGTCTTGACCTATAAAGCCCTGAACAGCTTGGGACAGGGATACCTGAAGGGACACCTCCTTCCTTATAGGCCCTCACGCCCCTTAAGATCAGCGAGGGAGGCCCTGCTCCGGGAGCCCTCCCTGAAGGAGGTAAAAGGGGCATCAACTCGGAGTAGGGCCTTCTCTGTGGTGGCGCCCAGAATGCGCTCCCCAGAGAGGTCCGTTTGGCACTGAGTTTATACTCTTTTCGCCACCAGGTCAAAACCTTTTTATTTAAGTGGTATTTTAAAAAATTAATACTTTTAATGGTTTTTGCAGTCACTTTTGCTTTGTTCTATTTTGATTTAATTTGATTTACTGGATTTATTTATTGTTTCAGACTGTATCACTGTTCTAATTCTGTGGATGATGCTATTAGTTGTTTGAAATTGTTTGAAATTCCTGTAAGCTGTCCTGAGATATTTATATAAAGGACAGCATACAAAAGCTTTCAATAAATAAATAAATCACTCACTTACTCACTCCTGGTGATTAGGAAAATTAATACATGGCATCATAGCAGTTCAAATAAAAACAACATTAAAACCAAAGTATTTGTTAAAACATCTGGAAAATAATAAGGTTTTCACCTGGTGCCAGAAAGGAAACAGACAGTGCCAGGCATACCTCTTTGGAGAGCTTGCTCCAGAGAATGGATACAACCACAGAGAAGGCATTTAACTGTCATTCCTAGCAGGCAGATCTCAGAGAAGGACTTCCAGGGAAGATTTTAGGGGCCGGTTAAGAACACACAGAGAAAGACATTCCTTCGGATTGCTTGCCCTCAAGCCACTTTGGAGTTTCAACTTAGTCTCAGCCCTCTGAATTGGGCCTGGACTTCCACAGGCAGCCAAAAAGGACGGGCATCGTATGATCTTGTGGGCCAGTCCTCATTATCAGTCTTGCTGCCCTGCTTGGGACCAGCTTGAGTTTCTGGGCCCTTTTCAAAGGCATCCGCATATAAATCTTGTTAAAGCAATCCAGGGAGGAGGTTACCAGAGCATGAATAGCTGAGGCAAGGCTCTGTCTGTCCAGATGGAGGTGGAGCTGGAAGATCAGCCTTAGCTGAAAGTTCCAGGAGCACCCCAGACTTCACGCCTGGTCCGTGAGGGGGAATGCAACCCCATCCAACCCTGATGCTGGCAACGACTGATGGCAAAAGGAGAAGGGGGCAGCAGAGGATGAGGTGGCTGGATGGGGTCACTGGGGCAGTGGGTGTGGGCTTGGGTGGACTCTGGGGGATGGTGGAGGACAGGAGGGCCTGGAGGAGTGTTGTCCATGGGGTCATGAGTGGTCAGGCACGACTTCGCGACTAACAACTACAATGTATGGCTGTGAGAGTTGGGCCATAAGGAAGGCTGAGCGCCGAAGAACTGAGGCCTTTGGATTGTGGTGCTGGAGGAGACTCCTGCGAGTCACTTGGACCGCGAGGCGATCAAACCGGTCAGTCCTAGAGGAGATCAACCCTGACTGCTCTCTAGAAGGCCAGATCCTGAAGATGAAGCTCAGATGCTTTGGCCACCTAATAAGAAGGAAGGACTCCCTGGAGAAGAGCCTGATGCTGGGAACAGTTGATGGCAAAAGAAGAAGGGGTGGCAGAGGATGAGGTGGCTGGATGGAGTCACTGGGGCAGTCGGTGTGAGCTTAGATGGACTCTGGGGGATGGTGGAGGACAGAAAGGCCTGGAAGAATGTTGTCCATGGGGTCGCGATGGGTCAGGCATGACTTTGCGACTAACAACAACAATGTATGGCTGTGACAGCTGGACCATACAGAAGGCTGAGCGCCAAAGGATTGAGGCCTTTGAATTGTGGTGCTGGTGGAGACGCCTGCCAGTCTCTTGGACCGCGAGGTGATCAAACCGGTCAGTCCTAGAGGAGATCAACCCTGACTGCTCTTTGGAAGGCCAGATGCTGAAGATGAAGCTCAATACTTTGGCCACCTAATGAGAAGGAAGGACTCACTGGAGAAGACCCTGATGCTTGGAACAATCGATGGCAAAAGAAGAAGGGGTGGCAGAGGATGAGGGGGCTGGATGGAGTCACTGAAGCAGTCGGCGTGAGCTTAGATGGACTCCAGGGGATGGTGGAGGACAGGAAGGCCTGGAGGAGCATTGACCATGGGGTCGTGATGGGTCGGACGTGACTTTGCAACTAAACAAGGACAAGCCACATCCAGAGCAGGCCGAAATTTCAGCAAGGCCTTTGGCAAATGCCGCACGATATCCTGGTCGAGGAATCGTTGAGCTCTGGCATAGATCAATGCACGCTCCAACGTGCTCTCAGGGCACCTGCAGCTCCTTATGCCCCCCCGCCCCCCCGCTGCACAGAGCAAGGAGCTGGTCCCTGCCATCAGCTCTAGCTTTGGCTGGGTTGCAATTATTTGCTCTTGTAATTGATGCAATCATAATGTAACGATTACACCAATTACACCCAGGCCACCTTGGTAACCACCCAGTCAGCCTGGGCTATCAGGCGACGTAAAAGCAAAATAAACACACAAGAAGGCGCTTTGTGGCCAGCGCTGGCCCAAAACTGGGGTACAAATGCAGTAGGGTAAGTTGGAAACAACTCAAGATTTAGCCACCCAGTTTCATTCTGAATAACTTTCATATCCGCAAACCTCCCTATTCAGCTATTTCAACAGGGTCTATTTTTAAATTAAAAAGCGCATTTGGTGTAACTGGGGTGGCAGGCTGAGCTAGGGACATGTGCAACCCTGAGAGACACAGCCAAGGATCTTAGCTTCCAGCCTTTCTACCCCAAGCAAGATCCAAAGCCATATTCCAGCTAACTTTTGGACTTACTTTGGGAAGGCATCAAAGCAGTAGGTTTTCTTTGTCTCCGGGAAGGCGACACGCATGCCTGAAGTCAGGGGCGAGTGCAAGATCACAGCTGCGCATTCGTAGCGGGAGGCCAAGTCCACTGTGGGCACGGTGCCAATGCTTTGGCCGTATAGGATTATATTCTCAGGACTGATCCCATATCTAGAGCAGAGAGAGGAGAGAAAAAGAATCAAATAAATTCTTTCCTTTTCCATGAGCCGCTGCAAAGGGGGTAAAGAGCATGGCTACAATGGGAAGGGCCTTTTCACTCCCCAGAGAAACACACCTGGCTCCAACATTAGATATGTTCGGGCACCAGGTTAAGACATCCATATTTTCTTGCCATTTTAATTGTCAGTTGTGATTTTACTGGTTTCAAACTGTGTAAGAGGAATGGTTATTTATTTATTTAAAGCTTTTGTATACCATCCAACTACTAGTGTTTTGGGGCAGTTTTAAAATAAAAGCAACATAAAATGGAGCACAGCACCCAATAATTCTATAATAAAACCTACATTTAAAACCTATTAAACATGAAAAGAATGGGAAAATAAAAAAGGTTATTATGCTATTACTCATTGTTTTGTTATTGTTTCATCACAGCCTGGCAAATTTTATTGTTATGTTGTTCTATAACAGGTAAGGGTGTTTTAAATTTGTTTTTTAAATTGGCCTTTAGCCATTTTTTTAAAAAGTCTATGCGGTAAACCGTACTGTGAGCTTGTGTAATCGAATGGTATAGAAATACCTAAAAGAAATAAATATATTCACGATTACAAACGGAGCAGCATCTGCAACCTACCAAAAGCGTTGCTGCAGCCAGTCCTTCTTGATCCCTTTCGGTGTTTGCAGTACAAATTTGCTGCCTGGCTTGAAAGGGAGGGAGGCAGAAACACGGCTGTGGACAGGTCTCCCGGTGAAAATTCCCTAGGACCCCCAACGGGGTTTCTGCGCCTGGCCAGGCCCTGCGATGGGGGGGCCTTCCAGAAGCCGTCTGGCTAGCCAAAAACAAGACTTGTGCAACCAGGTTTTCAGTGCGCATGCAAGTGAGCTGCATGTATCGTCCGAAAGCAAAGCCAGGGGATGAATATCAGTTGCTTTACTCAGGCCCTGCTTTATGGATTTTCAGATGCAGCGGGAGCAGGCCTTGGCACGGGCTTGCTTTTTATCTCCTTTATCGAAATGGAACTCCAGAACGAAGGCTGTATCTCCCATGTTCAGGGGCAGTCTACCCCAAAAAGCATTAATAACTCAACTATCCTTCAAGATAAAGTTCCTCTGACAATAATTGGACTGAGCATAAAAATAATGTCCTTCACCAGCTGATATCTAGAAAAATATAGCATGAGGTAGTATTTCTACATAATTCCTCCACAGATACCTTTTCACCTGAATTTCTCCCACATCATCAGGCCAACATTTAATCATGTGCTAATTGGTTTATTTGAAAAGATCGTTTAAGGAATTATGATATCTAGGGAATTCTTCCTCACTCTGACATAAAGGTTATGTGCACAGAGAGATACCTGTTTGTGAGTGAAGTGTGTGTGTGTGTGTGTGTGTGTGTGTGTGTGTGTGAGAGAGAGAGAGAGAGAGAGAGAGAGAGAGAGAGAGAGAGAGAGAGAGAGAGAGAATGATAAAGTGTCATATCCATTAAATCTGGTATAAATGTGGGCCTCATTTCTTTAAAACAAATCAGTAAAGGATGGACAGCTATGCTTCCAAGCAGATGCTGTTGATAAACAGTGGGGATTCCCAGAGATGTTATTTATTTTATTTATTTATATATTAGATTTTTATCCCACCCCACAGCAAGCCCCCGCCAGGAAATCCTGAAGCACTTGGGGAAATTGGCATGCAACCAACTGCAAAAGATATTCCAGAGTTCCTCACGGCTCACCGGGTACGCAGTGCCTGCCAGGCCGCGTCCACGTCCGCGTACAAGTTCTTCTCAGAGGGCTTGCCTGTGCTGACCCCGTAGCCCGAGTAGTCGTAAGAGAAGATGTTGCAGCTGATTCGGGTGCCCAGGCTGATGTAGAAGCTGCACATCTGGCCCAAGTCCACGGCATTGCCGTGTGAGAATAAAACTGTGAACCTGGAAGAGAGGAGGAAACGCCACGAGAAACAGCCGGGTCAGGCCTGGACCAAACATGCTGTATTGTCCCAAGCTGAGCGACTGGCCATTAAAGCTTTAAGCTCGTCTTCTGCCCCCACCTCCACTGGAATGTGGCCCCTGGGAACTGGACCACCATTCTGTCCCCCTTCTGCTTGTCACTCACCACCACGTAGGAACTTTCTTAGTTTTCCAGGGAAAGCATCAGGGTGGGAAGGACTCCTTTTCAAAGCCCTACAGAGCCCACCCCAATCAGTGCAAGCCACATGGTGCTAATTGGACCAAAAGTGGCTCCCTGCACTGCTATCTGAATCAGTCCTTTCTTTAGAACCCTGAGGACTAGAATGTTTGTTTGGTTTTAGGAGAACAAAGACAACTCAGAAGGGGTGCATGTACAAAGCATTCGGGGTCCAATTCCCAGCGTCTCCAGGAGCAGAAAGACTTTTGTCTGGAAGTCAATAAGGACAAGTGCCAAGTTTTCCATCTAGGAAAAAGAAACCAAAGGCATCAATACAAGATGGGGAACACGTGGCTCAACAGAACTGACAAAAAGATCTCGGAGTCATTGTGGACAACAGGCTAAACATGAGCCAACAATGTGATGCAGCCGCCAAAGGGGCAAGTGCTATTTTGGGATGCATTAACGGAAGTATCACTTCCAAATCACAAGATGTAGCAGTTCCTCTATACTCTTCCCTAGTCAGACCTCACCTGGAATACTGTGTCCAATTCTGGGCACCAAGATTTAAGAAAGAGGCAGGGAAATTAGAAAGGGCCCAGAGGAGGGCAACAAAAATGATGCAGAAATACTGTCCTGTGAGGAGAGACTGGGCATGTTCAGCCTTGAGAAGAAAAGACTGAGGGGGGACATGGTATCCCTCTGTAAGTCCCTCAAAGGCTGTCACAAAGAGGAAGGTCAAGATCTCTTCTGACTGATGTCAGAGTGTAGGACACAGAATAATCAGTTCAAGCTGCGTCAGCCCAGATCCAATGGAGCAAAGCTCAGGAAGCCAAGGTTCCATTTGGATGCCAGGAAGCACTTCCTGACAGTCAGGACCCCGAGGGTGTGGAATGGGCTTCCACGAGAGGTCGTTGAGGCCCCATCGGTGCGGGTGTTCAAGGATAGGCTGGACGTCCACATGGTGGGCATGTCGTGAGTGGAGCCGGCTGGAGCCGGGGGTCAGACTAGATGGCCTGGGAGACCCCTTCTGACTCGTTCTGTTTCTATGTTTCATTCCCTGCCTTTGTTCTAAGCAGCCAAGTTTCAATTTAGATTCCAGGAAGCACTTCCTGACAGCTGGAACCCGAGGGTGTGGAATGGGCTTCCATGGGAGGTGGATGAGGCCCCATCGGTGCCGGTGTTCAAGGACAGGCTGGACATGCACATGGTGGGCATGTCGTGAGCGGAGCCGGCTGGTGCCGGAGGTCAGACTAGATGGCCCGGGAGACCCCTTCTGACTTGCTCTATTTTCTATGTTTCTAAAATCATGATAACCTCATGGTCAGAGCAATACGTCAGTGGAAGCTGCTGCCTGGTGACATTCCAAAGGAAACTGGACAGGCCTCTGAGTGGGATGGTGTGAACTGGTGTCCTGCAACAGCAGGGGGATGGACTTGATGGCCTTCATGGCCCCTTCCAACTCCACTATTCTAGAATTTTATGAAACCCTGTGTGCTTCCTGCAAGGTGGGTCAGAGGGATAGCAGCCTGGGGGGCTGGTGAGCTTGACCTAGAGGAGGGTCCCCCAGTTCACCACACGTGCTCCCAGCTCTGCCCGTGCTAAGACTGTCACCATTGCCACAGATTTCTCCTTTGTGTAACTTGCCCAGTTTTGATGTGGATTTCACCGGCCCCATTCTCCCGTTTTTGCCCCGTAGCATCTGGCATGCAGAGGCAGTTTGCTCTAACAAAGAGGTCCAGTGAACAGAGAATTCCTAGTCAGCAGAACTCAAAATGCTGGTCTACCTTCCAGGGTTGTTGGGAGTATAATCCTTTGCACACTCTAAAACTCGAGAAAAGATGCTACACTATTCCTCCATTGCATTTATATCCCGCTTTGCTGTGCTTGCGAGGAACCCCGGACAGCTTACCTAGCTCCATTTTATGCTCACCACAACCACCCTGCAAGGAAGGCTAGGGTGACAGGCCCAAAGTCACTCAGGCTGAGCAGGGACAAGGACCCAGCTCTCCTGGACCCCCGACCAATGCTCTCACCCCTGCACCACATTAAAGGGCACTCCTCCATTGAGGATTTATGACTTGACCTGGATGTGGCATCCTCCTCCTCCAATGAAGGCAGGAAATTCCAGCCTGGGAACACCCAGCATCACGTCTCCATGATTCAGAAACCCATCACTGGGCCAGCTTCCACAATTCCCTGATCTCAGCAACCAAGAGAGTGTGTCACTTGGACAAAGCATTTCAGTTCTCCTTCTAGGCAGGGAGGAAGTTGTGGCTAAGTCCTGACCTTATAAATGCTCTTATGCCTTTATAAACGACACAGCAGAGGGAATTTTCACCTGTGCAGCTTTGCCTCCCACAGAAACACTGAGAAAAGCCATACTCAGGGCAAACAAGTTATCTTATACAAGACCTTTGACGATGATCAGTTACCACTTTTAAGCTATCCTAGCTTTTAAAGTGGCTTGCAAATCAGCATTGAGAAAACTAAGACCATGGCATCCGGTCCTATCACTTCCTGGAAAATAGATGGGGAAGAAATGGAGGTAGTGACAGATTTTACTTTTTCCTGGGCTCCAAGATCACTGCAGACAGGGACTGCAGCCAAGAAATTAAAAGACGCTTGCTCCTGGGGAGGAAAGCTGTGGCAAATCTAGACAGCAGACTAAAAAGCAGAGACTTCACCCTGCCGACAAAAGTGCGTCTAGTCAAGGCTCCAGTCTTCCCAGTTGCAATGTATGGCTGTGAAAGCTGGACCATAAGGAAGGCTGAGCGCCAAAGGATTGGGGGGGCCTTTGAACTGTGGTGCTGGAGGACACTCCTGCGAGTCCCTTGGACCACAAGTCGATCAAACTGGTCAGTCCTAGAGGAGATCAACCCTGACTGCTCTTTAGAAGGCCAGGTCCTAATGATGAAACTCAAATACTTTGGCCACCTAATGAGAAGGAAGCACTCCCTGGAGAAGACCCTGATGCTGGGAACGATTGACGGCAAAAGGAGAAGGGGGCGGCAGAGGATGAGGTGGCTGGATGGGGTCACTGAAGCAGTTGGTGTGAGCTTAAAGTGGACTCCAGGGGATGGTGGAGGACAGGAAGGCCTGGAGGAATGTTGTTCGTGGGGGTGCAAAGACTTTGCAACTGAACCACAGCTAGCTTTTAAAAGGGTGTTTAAATCATCACCTTTTGCTTTCTTTATTTATGAGTCAGTTTGCAGGAAGGTCCTGCCCATCAGGCCAAAGACAGCACAAATCTTATGCATGTTTACTCAGGAGTAAAGCAGCAGTATGATAAAAGGGAGAAAGTGTTTTAAAAAGAAACCTTGCAGCTGCTACAAAGAGCCCAGGACACTTGCAAATTAGGTCACCTGGGAGTTTGCGTGGATGACCCTTAGCAGCATCGTACCATCCCCTGAATGGCCTTAATTAACTCGTGTCTGATATTTTCCACCCCATGGGAGAAAACCTAGGCCCTGACAAAAGAAGGCATGGGATTTTGAGCTTGGTCAATTCTCACTCTGGCTTGGTGGAGGCAAAGCCGATGCAGGCCGGCTTCCCATGCAGACCCCTCTGTGCCAAGGCAGCCCCCAAATAGGAGATCTGGGCACAGAGGGGGCTAGCAAGAACAGGGGCTGTGAGTCCACCACCCTGGAGAAGACAGTCCTGCTGAAGGTAGAAGAAGAAAAGAAGGCCAAATCGGGAGGCGCCTTCAAAGAAGCACAGCCTTGCCCTAAGGAGAGGTGAGTGGAGCTGTCGCAGAGAGGGCTTTTTGCGTGTGCGTGGGTGGGGGGGTGGGTGGGGGGCTTCACTCACCTGGAAGGTGACTTAATAGCACATCACAACCAACCCAAGAGCCGGTGATTCCCTGGCTTGCAGGCCTGGATCCAAGTGGCCAGAAGTCACTGCAAGCCACCGACACATCCAATTATAGGACTATCTTGATGTCCTGGGTTGGAACTGCCTTCGCCTCAGTCCCACATGGACTTCAGGCCCCAGACGGCCTCCTCCCGCCCCGCTGCCGAGCTCCCCAGCCCTGCTTACCTCGCCCCGGGAGCACAGCGGACGTACATGCACCCAATCCGGTTCCCTCGGCTGCTTTTGGTGAGGAACACCTCGATGGTGTCCAGTTCCCGCTGGGAGTACTGGAAATCAGCCCGATCCGTCAGGTGGAGCTTCCAGCGGGCCATGGCACTGCCCCGAGGAGAGATGTTCCCAGAGCCTGCCATGGCATCCGGTTCTGGCACTATCGTGTAGGTGGGCTCTGGGGGCAGGAAGGCCAGCTTGGCCGCGATCCGGCCAGGACAAGGCGGGCAGCAGAAAAGGCAGCAGAGTTCACTGACTGTGAGCCCGTTCATGACAGCTGGCAGTGGAGACCAGAAGGATTTGGGGTATCGGCCCTTTTGCAGGGATGGGGGAGAAGGACCCCCCGAATCAGGTAATCCAGCAAGTTAAGGAGACATTTCCGTCACTGATGAGACGGCGGAAGTCTTTATGACATGTCCAGTTGGAACACCCGTAATAGGGGTCTCCCGCATTCCAGTGTAGGGGTTGAGAATCCCAAAGTCTCTGCCCAGGTACTCTGCAGGGCCCTGAAAACTTAAAAGAAAAAGAGGGACGTTTTTAAAAGATCGCAGCACAGCAAAGGTGCCAACCCAGCCACCCACAGGATCACTCCAGCAGGACAGGTGCAGGACCTCCCCCTGCCCAGCTCCTCAGCAAGGGGGGCATGCAGGCAAGTGAAGGAGGGAGCCTGTGGCCAGCAGGCCTAGTAGCCGCAGAGAGCCTTCTCCCCTGTGAACCTGTCCAGGCCCTTTTAAAGCCACCCAGACTGGCGGCCATCGCCACTTCCCATGGCAGCGAATTCTGCCGTTTATATGCTGTGTGAAGAATGGTCTTCTTTTATTCGTCCTACACCCCCCACCCATCAGCTTCATGGGAAGACCCCAGGCTTGAGGGTTCTGGGAAAGAGGGGAAAATCTCTCCCCCTCCACTTTCTCTACATGCTGCATTGTCTTAAGCACCCCCCTCTCCCCTTCCTCACCCTTTCCCTAAAAGTCCCAGTTGCAGCCTCTGCCCCAGACCCCTGCTCATTTTGGTCGCCCTTCATTTTGGTTGCAACTGGAGTATTGTGCTCAGTTCTGGGCCCCTCATTACAGGAAGGATATAGCCAGGTTGGAGTCAGTGCAGCGTAGGGCCACAAGGTTGGTGGCCGGTTTGCAGGGGATGGGGGATGAGGCGAGACTGAGGGAACTGGGTCTCTTCAGCCTGGAGAAGAGGAGGCTCAGAGGGGATCTGTTGGTGACATACAGGTATGTGAGGGGGTGTCACACGGAGGTGGGTAGAGACCTGTTCTCCCCTGCAGAGAAAGGCAGGACGCGCTCCAACGGAGCAAAGCTCAGGGAGCCCAAGTTCCATTTGGATGCCAGGAAGCACTTCCTGACAGTCAGGACCCCGAGGGTGTGGAATGGGCTTCCACAGGAGGTCGTTGAGGCCCCATCGGTGCAGGTGATCAAGGACAGGCTGGACGTCCACATGGTGGGCGTGTCATGAGCGGAGCTGGCTGGTGCCAGAGGTCAGACTGAATGGCCGGGGAGGCCCCTTCTGACTCACTCTGTTTCTATGTTTCTATGTTTTTTGAAAGCTGGTTATGAAGAAAAAGGGGAGGGGAGGGGAGGGGGAAAGCTAAAAATGGCTTGCAATTATACCAAGGAGAGGGAACAAAAGTTCTGCCACTTTGCCCCCTGGGATAACTGTGGACAGACCGAAAGGCAGGCTCCAGCAACCCATGGCTAGCCCTATTGTCAGTTGGTCCTATCCCAGTTTGTTTACAGAACGAACCCCTGGGACATATTGCCAGGGCGAGTTGATGCGTCATGCAAGGCATCCAATCATGCATTCGTCCTGTCCATTATATCTGTATACCGCCCGCTAGCCCATGTTCTTTCGGCCGGTCAACACCCTAGCGCATAATGAAAGATAATGATAACATAATGCAGGATAATATGAAACCTTTAAAAGGGTTTGGAACTTCAGGCTGGAGAACGAATGATGGAACAAGATGGGTCCTTGGCTTGTTCTGACCTTTTTCTGTTTGCAAGAAGAGTTTGCATTTGGGTTTGCACAAAAGGGCCTCGTTTACCTGTTTTCTTTCTCTAGACCTGACGCTTTTCAAGCCACAGGGCCCTGTTTGTTTGCTTACATCACAACAGAAGCTGAGCCCAACGCAAAATCTACACTTGTTACGGCCTTCCTCACTTCTTCCATGTCGCATCATGTCAGGTGAAGACACAACTCTTTTGAGACCTTAGTTTTTTAACTGGCTGTTTTACGATATCATGTTTTAAGATATCAGTTTGGGCTTTTTTAAAAAATTGTTACTAGGAATTGTAATGTTACGTTTTGTATTTTATTGCTGAACACTGCTTAGAGAGCTCTGTCGGGGTATTCAGCGGTCTATAAACTTAAAAATAAATAAATAAAAATAAACGAGGTGTGGAAACTCGCCACCCATCCCCAGATGTCCCCTGTCAGCTGACAAGGATCCGTGCCACCAAAGCGAGTGCAACAGGCCTCCCTTCCTATTCCAGGGACTCCGTGGCTAGCTGGATAACACAGGGAGACACGTCAAGGCCACGTATCCCCCCATGCTGCATCCATGCCAAACCACGACTCACCACAAAACTAAGCGCACCCCCCTCGTTGCAAACCCCACACACAAGCAAAGCCACACCAAGCATCTCAAAAGCACCATCTGCTCCAGCCACACAAAACACCAGCCTTGGATACCCATGTGTGCATACGCAAAACCAAACACGGCCTCGATGGACACACACAGCTTAATCACTTGAGGCAGGGATACTAGACTGACAAGTGGCAGAACAGGGAAGATTCAGAATGTGGTCGTGGCTGACCAATTTTAATTTTGGAAATGCAAACATGCATGCATTCTTCATCGGTCAAGGCAGAGCCAGGAAGCGCAAGGAGTGCCTTTCCTGTCCCTGAAAATCCTGTAAATAAAATTTCAGTACTCATAATCGTGGGCCGTGAATAACATAACTCATAATCAATAACACAGCTCCCCATTGGGTACAGAAAACATGGGATGGATGCCCCACTTCTCTGAAGGCTGGCATTTAAAACCACTTGCTTGCTCCCTCTGTAGGGAGTAAGTAGGGAGAAACTAGGTGGATTTACTTCGGAGTAAAGACGTACATAGCAGCAGGCGTGTGACAATCGCATTCCCTCTGCCCTGACAAGAAAAGATGCCAGGTTGCCCCTGCTCACGCGCAGCCGCTGGAAGGAGAAGCGCAAGCGAATGCACAGGGGTTGGGGCACAGCCGTGGCCTCCTGCCAGGCAAAACGGCTGCGTGGGGACCAAAGTTCGCAGGATGTACACGCAAATCCACGGAAGGGGGAGATCCGCTCCCGCCGCCGCTCCGCAAACCAACGCGCCCGGCAGAGGCGACGCACCTGAGCGAATGAGGCAGCCGGACCCCCACAAACCTGGCGCTCTGCAGAGACGGGATCCCCGGGCTGGCGCGCGCACGGCTGCAGACCCGCGCGAGGGGCGGGCTCACGCTGCGCCCGCCCGGCCCCCGCGCGCCCCTCGCCCCTGCCCGCGTCCCGGGGTGCCCGGAGTCGCCTGCGCTGGGGCGCACGCAGGCTCGCCACGGGCAGCCGGGGCTGGCGATCCACGGCGCACCTTTCTCCGCCCGCGGCTCCTTCCCCTCCGCTCAGCCGTCCAAGCCGTGCCCGGCCCCGATCCGCCGCCGCCTGCGCCCTGCCGGGAAGCCGCCAGCCGGAGCCGATGCGCGCCGCATTACGCGCCGGGCCTGCAAGTTGGAGCGGCGGGGCTACGCCGCACCTCCCCTCGGCGCCTCCGTCTCCTCCTCCTCTCCTCCTCCTCCTCCTCCCCACGAGGAGGCGGATGTGACAGCAGCGACACCCGCACTGGAAATGACGACGGAGAAGCGGGAGGAGCCGGAGGAAACCCAAGGCACGGATCTGGAGCGTTCCCCGTGCAGCGGCCGGGCCGGGGTCGGAGGAGTGCGTGCCGCGTCTCTGCGCGAGGCCCCGCTCGCCCGCGCACGCTGCCTTCGCCACCCCCTGTCGCCTCGTCCCAGCGGCGCGGCGACTCCTGTGACGTGCGGGAGGTCCTCGTGGGAAAGTGCCCACGCTCCGCCCGCTGCCCCATCGGCTGCCCGAGGCGCAGCACGGACTCGGCGCTGTGCGTCCCCACGGTCCGCTCTGAGATAAGATGGAGGGCCTGCTGCGCGGGTGCTCCGGTCCTCCTCGGAGGCGCAACCTCAGATCTCTGCCAGGATTCCGCGCATCCTCCAAGCTCTTTATCAAAGACTTAACTGCTAGGAGAGATTGCCTGGAGTTTTGGGGTCTGGTGCCACCAGAATGCCAGTTTGTTTATTTTATCTATATCCCCGCTTTTTCCTAACAAGGCACTAAAAGCAGCTTCCATAATTCTCCTCTCAGTCTCATCCTTACAACAGCCCTGTGAGGTATGCCATGCTGAAAGTCTGTGCCTGGCCCAAAGTCAGCAACTCCATGGCAGAGTGAGAACTAGACTTGGAAACCATCAATTTATTCATTTATTAGATTTAGGTCCCACGTTTTTCTTTTCTAAAGAACTCAAAGCAGCTGATATAATTCTCCTCCCCCTGTTCTTCATCTTATCCCCACAACAACAACAACCCTGTGAGGTAGGCTGGGCTGAGAGTCTGTGACTGGCCCAGAGTCCCCCAGTTGGCTCCATGGCTGAGCGGGGACTAGAACCCAGATCGCCTGAGTCCCAGTCCCAGCTCTTAACCACGACACCACTATGCTGATGGGGACCGGTAGTTATTCTCATGGAAGGCCGGTCCCCTTCCAGCTCCACTGACTCCCAGTTGAGGTCCGGGCCCAATTCGAGGTGCTGGTTTTCACCTATAAAGCCCTGCGTGGCTTGGGACTGGGATACCTGAAGGAACATCTCCTTCCTTATCTGCCCTCACGCCCCTTAAGATCAGCGAGGGAGGCCCTGCTCCAGGAACCCTCCCTGAAGGAGGTAAAAGGGGCATCTACTCCGGGTAGGGCCTTCTCTGCAGTGGCACCCAGAGCATGGCATGCGCTTCCCCGAGAGGTTCACCTGGCGCTGAGCTTATACTCTTTTTGGCACCAAGTCAAAACCTTTTTATTTTACCGGTATTTTAAAAACTAGTATTTAATGCAACAGTAGCATTTTATTGATTGTATGTTATTTATTGCTTGGATTGTTTTAATGTATTTGACTTTATTGATTTTTTTTTATGTATTGATTGTGAGGCATCCCAAGATGCCTTGCATGGGGGACAGCATATCAAAGCTTGAAATAAATAAATACTCCACACTGGCCATGTGCCTGGACTGCTGACACCCAACTCTATCTCTCCGTTTCCTCCCAATCCAGGGAATAAATACATATATACATAAGTGATTCTGGTTCCAAACTGGTGCCTGTTGTCAGTAACGAACCAGATGTGGGCAAGACTGGATGGAATTACGAGGGGTTTTCAAAAAGTTTCCACACTTTTATATTACATACATACATATATTGCTAATGGCATTAAAAAGTTGGTACGACACTGAAAAAATGCATCCCAAAGGTGACTATAGAAAAGTGATGTTATTTGTTTTTAAAATTCTTAATAAACAGTTTTAAAAGTGCGAAAACTTTTTGAAGAACCCTCGTACTTGTGGTCAAGTTGAAAGGCAGAACTGGGATACCCTCTGGAGTTAAAGTCTGGCTTGCCACCTGGGTCTATTCTTGTTTGCTGTCCTGACCCGGATGGCAGGATCTTGTGGGGAGTTCAGGATTGCAACTACACAACTGAGACTTGTACACCAAACCACACCTGCTCCGAGAGATGTCAGATCAAAGTCACACCTGCCTTTTCCTGTCCAGGCCGAATTCAAGGTTCTAACTATGACATACAAAGCCCTAAATGACTTGGGACCACAGTGCCTTATGTAGCCTTAACTCTTACATTGTTTTACTGTATTTTAATCTATGTTTTTATGCTGTTTAGCATTTGTAAGCTGCCCAGAGAACCTTCAGGGTATGGGACAGCATAGAAATGAGATGAGATGAAAAATAAATAATAAATAAATAATATTCCTGCCTCTTGTTTAAGAGTTTAAACTGGGGGCCCCCTTCAAGTTCCTCTCCCCAAGGAGCTGGGGGGGGGGGGCTGCAAGGAGGAGGGCTTTTTCTGTGGTGACACCCAAATTACCCCAAATACTCTACCGCTAGAGATTTGCCTGACATCTGCCATATTGAGTTTCAATATGGCAAAAACTTTCCCTTACTGGCACACCTTTGGCCCCATCTGGACCGTTTACATCGGTGCACAGTTTTTAATTAACATGTGCTTTGTTTTTATTTAGTTATTTTATTGTGACTTATTTTGTTTATTTCTCACGTTATTTTAATTGCATTATTTTATTAATGCCATGTGTTGATTTCACATTGTAAAATCAACAAAATCAGGGAACATGTTGCTAATGGGCAGTTTTCAAATAAATTTAATAAATAAATAATAAACACGCTTTACTCAGTGCTGCCTCCAAACCGTATGCAGAAATTTCAGCTGGTCCAGCTGTGGCCAGGGCTGATGACCAGGTGCTCAATTCTCTTGTTACGGTAGCTTCACTGGTTCCCTGCAGAAGTCCACCTTCTCCCACACAACCTCGGCTAATTCTTCAGATCTGGACATACTTGGTGGCAACGCAAACAGGGCCTTTTTGGTGGCTACTTCCAGGCTGTGGAATTGCTTCCCAGGTGTGACTTGGTTCACTCCCTGTTCTTCTGCAAAGAAGCAAAGACTATTTGTTTTGTGCAAAACTACTTGTTCTGTTCAAGGCCTTTGTTTTGCAAGTCGGTCTCTGGGGTGCTGGCTTTTATTTTCATTCTGTAAGTATGCTTTATTGTAGCTTAGCGCAGTGGTTTGCAACCTCCAGTCCATAGACCGGCACCAGGCCCAGGGGCTGGCTGCGCTCCGCTATCTTTTCCTCGACGGGCACAGCACTGGAGCTGCCAGAGGGCCGGGGAGGGGAGAGACAGCTCAGTGGGAGCCTCGCCACACCCATTTCAGCATTTTGGTTTTTTTCTGGCATTTCTAGTGGCTCAGTGTCTAGTTCGTTGTTTTGAAGAATTTTCATTTTTTGGGTATTGTGCTTGGAAACTAATACACAGAATACAGTATCTGTGCATGACAGTTTTTGATTCTGCCTCAGAGTCCTTATTTTTCCAGGTCCCCAGCTGCTGAAGGGATGAAACCCACTGGTTTAGTGTGTTGTTTTAATCCATTTTAATAGTGTGGTAAAAGACCCAGAATGCCCCCTTTTTTGAGGGGGGAGGGAATCAGGAAATCATTAAATTAAAGAAGGGGGAGAATCTATGAGCTCTTTTTCTTGTTTTCCGTGTTCCTTTGTGCAGTCAGTCAAAAACACTAATAAACTTGGAAGGGCTCTGCATTACATCATCCATGCACCAGCACGAGAAGGATCGCCAATGACTTCAGCACTTTGAGAGATGCTGTCATCACTTTTGCACTGAAAAAATGCCCCTCCACCCCGACACTGGTGCAAACTGCCAAGTTCCCCTTCCCGAAAAGACCCCACTTTGGGACACTGCCAGTTGAGCCCCTTCCGAGAGCAGGGAATTCTGCGGATGCTTCGTACAGGGTCCATTCGAGGGAGGCCATTTTGCAAGGCTGAAGCAGTAAGGACCCTCTGAGAAGACTGCCCCCGTTGCATCTCTGTGAGAGTCTCTGCTCTTTAGCTTGCTGCTTTTATCTGGGGAGAAACACCTGTAGCTTATGGAGAAAGCTCCTGAAGATGCGCTACAAGTAATTTTAGTTTTATAGCGTAGTTTAATATTTGTATACTGCCCAGAGAGCCCTGTGAGCTTTGAGGTGGTACATAAATGTAATAAACAATAAACAAACAATACCCTGGACCAATAGAAAGACATACAAGTGGCTACAGAACTTGCCCTGGAAGCAAAAACAACGGAGCTGAAGTTGTCCTACTTTGGGCACATCCTGAGAAGGCAAGGCACCCTGGAGAAGGCAATCCTGCTGGGGAAAGCAGAGGGCAGAAGAAAAAGCCAAATGGCTCGGTTTATCAAGGAAGACACACCCTGGAGTTGACAAGATCTGAGCAGGGCTGCGAAGGATAAGGGAATTCCGGAGGGCTGCCATAAGTTGGAGACAACTGAATGGTGTATCCCAGCAAAATAAATTAATAAATGATACACAAAAAGACGCGAGACTTCTGGAGATGGGGTCTTTCTTTTCCTTGCACACTCTAGAAGTAAGAGGCCATAAACTGGGCCTCCATTTTGCATTCAGAGAGAGAGAATTTTGTGCCAGAATGTTGGGAAGACCACTAAAGGTAAAGGTAAAGGTTTCCCCTTGACGGTAAGTCCAGTCATGCCTGACTCCAGGGGGCGGTGCTCATCTCCGTTTCCTGGCCGAGGGAGCCAGCATTTGTCCGCAGACGGTCTCCGTGGGCATGCGGCCAGTATGACTAAACATCCAAGTGCACGGAACGCTGTTACCTGCCCACCGAAGTGGCACCTTTTTATCTACCTGCATTTGCATGCTCTCGAATTGCAAGGTTGGCAGGAGCTGGGACGGAGCAACGGGGACTCCGTTGCAGATTCGAACTGGCGACCTTTCGATCAACCAGCCCAGCAGCACCGCGGTTTAAACCACTGCGCCACCTGCAGTCCCCTAAGAACTAAGACCTAAGGGGAAGGCCACTGCTGTTCCACAATTCAGAGGCACCACATGAAACAGAAGAATTCAGGAAGTCCTTCTGCACTGAAAGCATCATTCACT